CATTCCATTCCTGGGGTCTGGGAGAGAAAGACACAGAAACTAAAGTCAGAAGCAAAGAAAGATCCTGATGTAACCACAACAAGAAGCCTTGATTTGGGGCCTGGCAAGCCCCGGAGTGGTTCCACATCTGGGCTCAGATTTCCCTAGTCCAGGAGACAGAAGGACGCACAGCATGGGAGACCGTTGCACAGGCAAGGCCAGAACAGAAAGGGGGACTTTCCAGATCAAGGCCTGTGTCTTGGATACTGGGGGTAAAAGCCAAGGGAACCCTTCTCCTGACGTGAAACGATCTCTCACCGAAATTGCTACTGCCTGTTTTCTTCACAGGCCAGCACACAGTGTGTGAACATGAAGCCTTGCCCTGTGTGTGCCTCATGGGATCTCAAAATAATTTCCTGGGAGATGATGACTTCTTATCAAAATATCATTATAAAATGATTTCTGGGAATGGGTGCATGAGAAAAGAAATTTCTAAAAGTGAATAAATAAATTTTATAAAAACAGCCTCTACCACCTGGCAAGACCTTTTGATGGTCATTTTATCAAACTTTCCATCCCCAGCGAGGATTGTCCCTGAAGTGGATATTGTGTATCACATGATTTCAAGCACTTTTTTTAACCATAACACTTTCCAGTAGCACCTATAACTGCCTTAAATATTTAGCTCTGTGCTAAAGAGGAATTGTTTCAATGGTTAGAGACCTTAAATTTTCACTAAAAAGATGCCTGAGCAAAACGAATCTATAGTAACAGAAATCATTTATTTGGTTTTCAGGGATGGACAGGGACATTGGAAAGGGGCATGAAGGAACTTTCTGGGAGATGGAAATGTTTCTATATATTAATAGGGTAGATATTACATGGGTATATATGTATATATTGAGCAAAACCATTGACCTGTCAATTATAAAGTGTGTAATGATTATTGTATATACAGTTGATCCTTGAACAACACCGGTTTGAACTGTGTGGGTCCACTTTTTAATAAATACATACTACAGTACTGCAGGATCTGTAGTTAGTTGAATCTTCAGATGCAGAACCGCGGATATGGACATTCAAGTGTGAAGTTACATGTAAATTTTTGACTGTGGGCTTGGGGGTGGCTCAGAGCCCCTAGCCTCTGCTAAACTCCACATTGTTCAAGGCTTAACTATGATTCATCCGTCAATAAAGTTGATTTAAAAATGCCTGTTGAGGGATGTGTATTACATGCTCTGGTTAATTTCATGTAATGAATCATCAGGCATAAATATTCACCTTTCTGTGACTTCTAAAGTCCTCAACTACAGGCAAAATATGTCCATCTCTAACTTTGCCCCTGGGAAACGGTGGAAGCGGCTGTCAGAGAGTAGCGAAAGGAGTCAAGAAATGCAGAGTTCTGTTATGTGCCAGGTACTTCATGCTTACTAAATTTTTATGCAACCTTGGAAGATGGTGTGATGGCTAATGTAATGTGTCAACTTGGCTGGGCCACAAGTATTTAGTTAAACACTATTCTGGGTGTTCCTGTTAGCGTGTTTTTGGAAGAGATTAACATGTGAATAGGTAGACTTTAATATTAGATTAGATTAACATTTTAGCTAGTAAAGCAGATGACTTTCCATAATGTAGGTGGGTCACATCCAATCAGTTGAAGACATGAATAGAACAGAAAGCCTAATCTTCCCAGGCAAGAGAGAATTGTCCAGCTGATGGCCTTCACTGGAACATCAGCTCCTTCTGCCTAACAGCCTCTGAACTTAAACATCAGCTCTCCCTGGATCTCTAGTACCACCAGCCCAACTGCAGATTTTAGACTTATCAGCCTTAAAAAAAATGTGAGCCAACTCCCTTAAATTATGTGTATATACACACACACACACACACACACACACACACACATATATATTTGTTCTATGGGGGCACTGTTCTATAGGGCAGATACCACAGGTGTTGAGGACAGACTTGAGTCTGATTCCTTGCTCTGACAGTTATGAAATATGAGATCTGGGCAAGACACTTCTCCTCAGATATACAAACAGGTAAAATAATACTTATTATGCATACTCTTTGGGAGCATTCATACATATCAAAGAAATAATACCTGGGAAAGGCTGTCTGCTTTACCAGGGCCTGGGACTGGCTGGCTGGCAGTCAATGCCCTCATGGCCACTTCCTGAGCTGGGGCAGCTGATCATGCAGGGCTGCGTCTTGGCTGCTGGCACAGAGATACAGGGCCGCCTCCGTCAGCTCCAAGGAGCTCAGGTCAGGCTCAGAGCTAGAGTCACTGAACTGTTGGCCTGAGAATCTATCTTCCCCTCTGTAATACTCAGCGGGGAACTGATGGCCCTGGCCCAGGGCCTGTTGGTACCAGGACACAGAGAGGTGTCCAGAGACAGGGGAACATCTCAGTGTCTCTTACTGTTGTCTTGATTTGATCACGTATTTTGGGGTCTAGGTGACTCCAGAATCCACCGGGCCTGTTGCGGGGAGACAGAAGGAAGCTGAGGGCAGAGCACTGGGAAGCCCCCTGCTGCAGCCCTCATCAGCTTGTATCTCGGGATGGCGAAGGCATATCAGAAGTTTCCACACTGTGCCCAGGACTCACCTGCTCCCAGGAGACAATGAGTCACACAGCAGAGGAGCCTGGAGTCCATGGCAGCGTCAGGAACCAAACAACTCCTAGCTCGGGGCGGGTGTCCTGGGGTGAGTGGTCTAAAGAGCTGAAACTCCTGTTTCCCTGGTAGGAGATTCGCCCATGATGTCACTGCCCTGATGTCTCTGCAGGCTGCCTCCTGGTCCACTGCACCCCTTGGCAGGACCGAGGCCGGCTACTCTATGCCATTCCCTGTCCTTCACAGCCCCTCAGCAAAGGGTGGGTGTGAGGTGAGTACCATCGCCACATCCCCGTGTGCCCATGACACACTTGCTCTCCTCTGCCTGCCCCTGCCTGACAACAATCACCCAGCCCTCCCCATCCACCCCCACCCCTTCACCCTCCACTTCCTTTGCAGTCTCCCGGAGACGCCTGCTTGGCACACCCTGAGGCTCAAGATGCATCTCCACATCCCTGAGCAATGAGAAGGCTGTGCTGGCTCCTCCTGTCCTGGGACCACTCAGTGAACTCAACCAGGCCCCCTGATGCAGGCATGTAGCCAAGGTTCCCTTAAGCTGCCCTCTGCTGGGTGACTGTCAACCCCATCAGTGCCATGAGTACCCTGGGCCCACAGTGCCTCCGAGTGGCCAACTGTCCACAGTATCATGGATTTACAGCTTCTGTCTAAATCAAGAATAGAAATTCCCCACAACCCCACCTGCAAACCACTACACACACACACACACACACACACACGCACGCACGCACGCACCCCTGTTCTACTGCCTTCCCAGCCTGGCTAAATTAGGGTTGATCTTCAGATCCATTCTTAGCCTGTGGAGGTGAAAGGTTGTATGATCCATTTCCATTAAGAAGCAAATACTTGCTGCACCATTGCAATGACGGCAGTATGCTAAGACGGAATAATAGGGCATAAAAATAAACACTCTGATGATTTCAAGTGAAACCAGGCTGGCAACATGTATTCCATAGCTCCTTCTGACTAAGCGGATCCATAGTTTCCAGATTTTATATTTAAATTAAGTATTACCAAATTCTAGGTAGTGCATTTTATAAAGAGGTTTTATGTATATTATCCCATTTATTTCTGAACTCATAAAATCCCGAAATAAACAACCATGTCAGCAGAAGACCTAACTGGACATTTCTCCAAAGAAGACATACAGATGGCCAAAAGGCACATGAAATATGCTCAACATCACTAATTATCAGAGAAATGCAAATCAAAACTATAATGAGGTAACACCTCACATCGGTCAGAATAACTATCATCAGAAAGTCTACAAATAATAAATGCTGGACAGGGTGTGGAGAAAATGGAACCCTCCTACACTGTTGGTGGGAATGTAAATTGGTACAGCCACTATGAGAATATTATGGAGGTTTCTTAAAATCTAAAGATAGAGTTACCGTATAATCCTGCAATCCCATTCCTGGGCATAAATCCTGACAAAACTATAATTTGAAAAGATACATGCACCCCCAATGTTCATAAGGCACTTTTTACACTAGCCAAGATATGGAAGCAACCTAAATGTCCATGGGCAGATGAATGGATAAAGATCTGGTATCTATACACAATGGAATATTACTCAGCCATAAAAAAGAATAAATAATGCCATTTTCAGCAACATGGTTGGATCTAGAGATTACCATAGTAATGAAGTAAGCCAGACAGAGAAAGACAAATATCATATGATATTGCTTATATGTAGAATCTACAGAAAAAAAGATACAAATAAGCTCTTTTACAAAACAGAAATAGACCCACAGACATAAGAAAAAAACTCATGGTTACCAAAGGGGAAAGGTGGGGTGGGATGAATTAGGAGTTTGGGATTAACATGTACATACTACTATAAATAAAATAGATAAACAACAAGGACCTACTGAATAGCACAGGGAACAATAATCAATATTTTGTAATGACCTGTAAGGGAAATGAATCTGAAAAAGTATATATACATATATGTGTGTGTGTGTGTGTGTGTGTGTGTGTGTGTGTGTGTATGTGAATCACTGAGCTGTACACCTGAAACTAACACAACAATGTAAATAAACTATACAGACAAATGCAAAGAAGAGATTGAAAATATCCCGACTCCAAATTCTGAAATTGTTATAGTTCAGAGAGATTAGGGAAATTGCAAGAGAGGGGCAGTTTGGATTCAAACCCACGTTTAACTATAAAACCTATATATATATATATATATATATTTTTTTTTAATGCTATGTTACCGTTCCATTAACACTTTACACTATACTCACTGGGAACTATATCAACAAATGTACTTTGATCTGAAGAGGGCTGAATATGGAATATTATGATCAGACTTAACACTGACATAAACATACCCAGAAAAGAAAATGTTAAAATGTTCACACAAATTGGAAGCCTGGGCTTGGGTCCAGTTGTTCATACACTAGGATAAATGCCTGAGTTGTGCTGGGAAAAAAGTATTCCACACAGCTCTATATAAGTGGGTATTACTTAATTCATTTCACAGGTGTCAAAGGGTATCAATTATATATTGGTAAAAATAAAGTTCATTCAGTTTTAGGTAAAAATAAAAGACACATTTTTCATTTTCACCAAGAATTTTATTGAACAACGTATTCACTCACCAAATGGACTTTTTGGCCAACCCCAGTATACACACACTTAGCTTTTCCTATGAAAGTAAAGGGAGCAAGGTAGCTTTTATAGATGAAATTGTGTCTCCTCGAAATTGTGTCTCCTCGAAATCCATATGTTGATACGGCAGTATGCTAAGACGGAATATACGTGAAGACACGGGGAGAAGGCAGCTGTCTACAAACCGGAAGCAGAGTTCTCACCAGAAGCCAACCCTGGCACCTTGATCTTGGACTTCAGGCCTCCAGAACTGTGAGAAAATAAATGTCTGTTGTTTAAGCCACACAGTCTGTGGTATTTTAATATGGCAGCCTGAGCAAATTAATCAATAGTATAGAGCCGTGAATGTCAGGATAAAAAGTAAAGAGGAAGGCATGTCCGGGCCAGTGCTTGGAAGATGAGCAGTGCCTGGTCTTGTTTCAGGAGGAGAGAGGGCCCCCTAGGCCATGGGCAGAGCAAGGGCAGATGCAGAGGATTGAAAAGGCATCGGTGTTTCAGGGAATTTTACAGGGATGTTTGGTCACAGAGTGTCATGCATCCTGATGCGCTGGAGCAAATAGAATCTACGTGGTGAAGTGTTAAAAAGAGATTCCAGGGAAGCAGAACTGATGTGGGGAGCCCTTGCCTGTTTATAATCAGGGGATGCCTGCCCTCATCTCTGGGCGGGAGGCACCCGTCTTTGCCCCGAGGAGGCGGGACTGGGGTAAGAGGTCAAGAAGGGACAAGTCAGAATCATGCCCAGGCTTCTCACACCATCATCACATCATCTGTGTGGTGATGACCTCACCTGGGCCAGCCCCCAGGTGATGCTGGTTGTTATAAGGCCTGGCTTAGTGTTTTCTGGTGATTGAAGACCTTGGGAGGGAGGAGGAAAGAGATCATGTTATTTTGTAGCTCTAGCTCTGTTCTCAAGCATCTCAGCCATATTTTCTGTCCTAGACTTTCCCCAAATCTCCATTTCTTCTCCCTAAATTATATAAAGCAAACCCCTGATTCTATTAGAATCACACATTTATCAAGTAATTTCGCTCCCCCAATGAACTCTCTCTCCCTCAAAAAGAGCCCGCCAGCTATTAAATTACAAACTCTTCCTCTCCCTGGTAGTATTGAGTGTCAGGCCCGGAAGGTCATGTTGGAGGGAACCTGCTGATGTAGCCCCATCCTCTGAACATATCTTCTTGACCTCTGTGGTCCCTCCTCTGAGTGGCACAAGAGCCCGTGGCTGCTTTCCAGCGCCCTCAGTCATTTTCCTTTCCCACTGCAATCTCCGGGCTCTCATGCATCTGTCAGCTCTGAGGTTGTCCCCCACTGGGGCAGGGAGGTTTGCACAGAACGCGGGTGACTCAGCAGGGCTGTGCTAAGCTGCTGGCACACAGGTACAGGGCCAAGTCCCTCAGCTCCAAGGAGCTCACGTTCAGCTCAGAGCGAGCATCACGGAAGTGTTGTGCTGAGAATTGACCCGGGAAGTTTCCTTTTCCTCTCTGCATATTTTCATAAAACTCAAAGAGGAACTAGGGGCCCTGACCCAGGGCCTGTTGGCATTGCGGTGCCCAGACATAGGGGAACACCTCAGTATCACTTGGTGTCCTCTTGCTTTAATCAGGTATCTTGGTGTTTGGGTGACTCCAGAATCCACTGTACCTGTGAGGGAAGGAAACCAGGGCTGGAGAAAAAGCAGGAGAGAGCCCGATGGACCCCAGTGGATTCAGGCACTGTCAAGCTTAGAACAGAGATGCCACGCCTGTACCAAGGATGGACCTGGTGCCAGGAGACACAGAGCCACACAGCAGAGGAGGCTGGAGCCCATGGCAGGAAGGGCCAGAGCTGGGCAGGTGTCACCTTGCTCAGAGCTCTGGTTCTCTGAGAGCTGAAGTTCTGGGCATCCTTTCTCTGCTTGGAGGTTAGGCAGTGACGTCACTGCTCTGATGTCATTGCCTCTGCTGGTTCCCATGAGCCTGGCCTCCCTTTCCAGGTCAGCTGATTCAGGAACCCTGCTTTGTCCTGCAATGCCTCTTATGTGACATGTGGGGCTGGATTGAGCTGGCCTCAGTGAGGCTGGGTGTAGGCCACATGCCCATCCCCACAGCTCCTTTGCTTTTCTTTGAGGCAGGTGTTTCTGTACCTGTACCTGCCCCCTCCCAGCTCCACACCCTTCACTTTCCCTTGTAACCTCAGAGACTCCCTCATCACTGCATAGGTGAAGTTCATGGCTCCCATCTGGGACAGCACACCTGCAAATTAGTGTCTATGCTATTAAGCCTTCCAGAGGATAAAGCCACCAAACAAAACTATTTCTTAACCCTCCTGGTCCCAGGCACCTAGCTCTGTCAGCTTGCTCTGCCCCAGAAACTTTTGGAGTCTGGCAATTCCACAGTGCCCCCATGCAGTCTATGGGTGGTAACCAAGACACTGTCTTTGCCGTGATGTATTAATTATGGGATGTGTTTAAATTAGAAACTATTTCACTGTTTGCCTATTGCACTGTGTTTTTGTTTGTTTTTTGCTTTGTTTTTCCTGAAAGGAGACACACACACACACAGGCCCTAGCTGATTTGTGATTTTGTATTTTAAGAGAAAAAAGAAATGTGGCCATGGAGGAAATGTTTTGACTTTGAGAAGATTTTGATGAAGGAAATGGTACAAACCTGGTCTAGGTTAGGTGGGATGCTAAAGTTGTTTTTCCTTAGATAAACGAGAACAGCTCGCTCAAAGCAGACCACTTAGGTCTCTTTGCAAGTTCCCCACTAATCAGCTTACCCCAGAATGAAGAAAATAATACTCCCTGTTTCTGTACTGCTGGAGAATTTCTTTATCTTCTATGTCTCTCTTTTAGAAATCCTCTTTTTGCCCCTGTTCATTGATAATAATATAATGCCCATTTGCCTATATATGAATAAATATGTGTGTAGATAAATTATATTTCCCTAGGTTTTTCTTTGATGCCCGTGTGGGAAATAAAATATTCTAACCTTCTGGAATTAGTATGCTAGAAAGGAAAGGCCAGTCTGGATTAATGTAGGATAAAAAATAAACAGAAGGATTTGGGAAAACAGAATCTGAGAAGGACTCGATTCCAGAGCCAGTATCTCCCATTTGCTCCTTCTGACTTTTAGTTAACTTCCAACCCAAGTTTCTTTACATATTTACATTTGACTTACCTGTTATTCAGTTTTACATAGTGCATTATATAGAGTGAATATAGATATTCTAATGGAATCTATTTCTTTACTTCAAAGTCCAAAGGCAATGAGCCCATCAAATACCACTGAGAAGAGATCACTGATCCAGCTGCATGTGACACTGATGGGCAATGCATCATTGTCATCAACGACTAGTTGCTGTGCCAGCGAGCCAAGAGTTACCAGTACCTCTTATAAGATCCACCCAGTGGAGGAAAATTCCACCCTGAGTGATGCCCCATGGATATGAACTAGATACAATTATCTCAAGCCCAGATGGGAATGTCCTACAACTAAATATTTTTTCTGAATTTTGTGCATACATAAATCAAAACCTTTCACAATAGCAGCTGATGTGTTTTATGGAGTTTCTAATGGTAGAGAAGGAGAAGTTTCTATACAAAATCATAGAAGTATAAACAATCACTATAAATCACACTAAGGAAAGTGTGTTTCTCAGTTTTAAGGAACACTTGGCATGTTTTGGCTTCAGTTAGATAAAATTGCCGGATTGCCAATCAGTTCTTAACTACTGATATCTGAAAAAAAACAGAACATCTAAGATTGCTTAAGAGATGCCTGAGACCCCATGATAAACAGCCATTACATTTCAGGCAAGAGGAGCCCAGCCGATATTATAACAACGCGTGAAATATGACGGCACTGACTGCTGGATCCTGCTAAAATTGTGAACTGGCGCCATCTCCTGGCTCCTTCTCCAGGGAAACCTGATGAGGCAGGAAGCAAATATGAACACTAGAGACTCACCAAAACCAAGAGAATCTTCTGGAAAGATTGAATCTATTTGGGGCTGGAATATGAGTAAGATGAGAGGTGAGCCCAGGAGAGCAGTGAGAAAACAAGATGGTAAAAATAATTGAAGCTCTGCTCTTACCCGACCTCTTCTTTGCTCTGAGACAATCTTACCTGCATTTTTACTGCAGGAATCAATAGCAGGATAAGTGATACCATTAAAGGACTGAAAACAAAAAAGATAACCGACTGGACAGTATATATCCCCAGAAAGTGCATTATTGAACCCGATGAACCAAGAATTTATAACAAGCATGACAAATATACTACGTGAAGATCTGCGATATAAACAAGAATATAGAAGAAGACTACCACATAAGAAAATTTAAGGTCAACTTATCGAAGATCTTACCAGCAGCCCACCTAGTATATTTTACATCAGCATTTCAAAGTGCTGTATTATGGGGAAGAATGTTCATGTTCTCGAATTCTCTAAAAGAAGCCAATGTTTCATGTAAACACCAAGTTTTCCTTCCAGTAGGAACTAATATATATTACCCTTTTCTTAAAATAATGACTCCTATCATCAGGGGATTTTTTCCCCCCGTTTTTATAAAAACAAGGTTTCAGCTAATACGTTTATCACCCAGATAAGATCTGTGAAGCTCTCTCTTCTTTGAAAACTAGGTGAAATTTCCCAGAGGTTTTAAATTCCAAAAGCTATGGAAATTCAAAGCCCTTCCAGAGATCTCTGACCATGCCCATGGACATTTGTATTCTCCTGGTCTTCTCTAACCCTGTCTCATTACCTGTCCATAAAGCTAAGACCTTTTTGATTTCCTCAACAAAATTATGTACATCAAGATCCCGTGAGTTTAGTAGAGTCTAATGAAGATTTGGGTGGTTCTGTAAAGGAATCGTATGATGCGGAACACAGATTTTCACCATTTGCCTCTCATCCTTACCCGTTGCACTCCCTTCCAAGACTTGCCAGAATCTCAAATTATTCCACCTGTATTATATTGAACAGTGTCCTTGGAGTTTACCCTCCACACTTAGCACTTCTATTAAAATATTCTCATCAACAATACTTTCCTCCCTAAGAGAAAGGGTATAATCTCTTCAAGACACTAAAATTTAACTTTTCTGCATTCAAAATTATGGTTAACCAATTCTTTTTTTGAATGGAACTCATCTCTATTCAAAGACTGTCTGTTTCTAAATTTTAATTTAAGCTGTTCTTTCGTTTTATTATTGTGATAAAATATATATAACATAAAACTTACCATCTCAAGTCTATAGTTTAGTGGCATTCACATTGTGCTACCATCACAACTTTCCATCTCCCGAACATTTTCATCTTCCCAAAATGAAACTCTGTATCTGTTAAATACTAACTCCTCATTCCCTCCCTCACCCCAGACCCTGGAAACCTCTATTCTGTCTTCTGTCTGTATGAATTTGACTACTCCAGGTACCTCATATAAATGGATACAAACACAATTTGGCCTTTTATGTCCAGCTTATTTCACGTAGCATAATGTTTTCAAGGTTGATTCATGTTGTAACACAAATCAGAAAGTCGTTGCTTTTTAAGGCTGAATGGTATTCCATTGTATGTATATATCACATTTGCTTTATCCATTTATCTCTTGGTTGGACAGGTTGTTTTCACCTTTTGGCTATTGCAAACAATGCTTCTATGAACACAGGTGTGCTAATATTTGTTTGAATTCCTGCCTTAACTCCTTTGGGTATATAGCCAGAAGTGGAATTTCTGGATCATATGGTAATTCTATGTTCAGTTTTTTGAGGAATTGCCACACTGTTTTCCACAGTGTTTGCACTATCTTATATTCCCACAACAACGCAATAGGGTTCCAATATCTCCACAACCTCACCAACGTGCGTTTTCTGTTATTTTCTTTACTCTCACTCTCTGTTTGCCTGGGGCGGGGTTGGTGGCTGGGAAGGGCTTCTGTTCTTCCCCTGTTTAGTGCAGGTGCCTCTTGAAGGAGAAACGCCTTGTTCCTTCTCAGAACTGAGTGCCTGTGACTCTGCAGCCCTGTGGCATCCCAGCTGACACAGAAGTGCGGAGATTTCCGGCTGGTGGTGGCTGACCCCATTGTCGGGGGGAACATCTCTGTATCTTTTTGAGACCAGTAACCTTCAAATACTCCAGGGACCGTAAGTTTTGCTCTTTCTGACTAACGGATCAGCCTAAGTCCCAGTCCCGAGTCTTGTCAATACCAGCACAAGGCAAAATGGTGCATTGTCTAAGACTGTTCAAAGACCAGTTTCTTTTCCATCTCCATAAGGATCTTGGTATCTGTTTGACCTGAGCATCCATGGGTTTTGATAGAAAAGGATATGTAAGCTAAGATAGAGACAAGGAAGCAGATGGAGGAAATGCCAAGGATCTGGAATTGGGAGACCCATATCAGGAGTTTCCCTCCTGTTTTCTGGACTTACCTGCTCCCAAGACACAAGAGGCCACAAATCAGAGAAGCCTGGCACCCAGGGCAGGTCAGGGAGGGAGGGGCGACCCCCTGCCCAGTGTTCTGGTGTTCATAGGTGAGAACTGGCTCTCTGAGCCTCTTCACTATCTGATAGCCAGGTCTTCCTGGGATATCAGAACTCTTACAGGTCCTCCAAGCCCAGAATCCCCTCTTATGTGGCTCAAAATTAGTCATTGTCTCTTTTCTAAAGTAGGGCCATGCTCCGTGAAACTGGGTTTGGGGACTACACTCATGCCCTAGCTTCTCTGATCTTCCTTTGAGGCTATTACTCCTCTGTATACACTTGCCCTTGGGTACCCAGTATGCTCCTTCAAACTCCCTCCCTGTCTACTTTTCTTCCCAGTTTTGAAGCATTTCCCACTGTCTACAGAGAGCTCTGCTCGTATTCTTGCAGTGGCTCAAGATTGGCAACCGATCTGCCCGACAAAAGTACCAAGCTTTCTGAACTCCTCATTTCGTGCAGCTCTTTCTGCCCCTCCCCACAGCATCTTGCGGTTCAGTGGAACCACAGTGCCTCCTCTTAATAAACTGGAAGTGTTTACATCGTCAGCTGGGGCAGGAAAGTTTCCGGTAATTTCCTGGATGTCTCACCAGCATCCTCTCCGGAGCCCTCGGTTTCCCGTGCGGTATTTCCCAGCTGAATGCAGCACTGATCACGACTCTTCCGAATCACCATATTGACGTCCCTTCCCTCGCTTCTACTTTTCCAACACAAACTGAAGCAACTGAAACTCACCTTCCTAGCAAAGATCAGGAATGGGGCACGCTGTGCTCTGGGAAAACTGGCAGAACAGGCCTTCAGATAGATATTTTCAGGAGAAATTTTCAAGAACCTGGATTCTTGCATCTTCCCATACTTAGAAAAGCACTAAAACGATGAACTAAGGTGTCTGTTCCTTGTGACCAGCAGCAACCTTCTACCGGGATGTGAGCTTGGTTGCAGGTACCCTTCGCCAAAATCACAGATACGCTCACATCCCCCCGCCAATACCTTTCAGAGCAGTTTCTCAGAGCTCTCTCAGAGTCTGTCTCCCTGGCTATATCCCTTGGTAAGACATTGAAAAAACCTGACTCACGGCTTTTCTGCAACCATGGCAAGCCACATGCAAGTTCCTGCACATTTTACAGAGAGGAAAAGGAAGATGGGAGGTCTGTAGTAAAAAAAGGGTCCAAGGCTTTTCACTTACTGAGTCCTTGCCAGGAAAGAAGAGGAATCTTTTTCTTCCTCTTGGGCTCTGCTACCATCACAGGGCTGGAGAGCTCCACCTCCTGGTCTCCCAACTCTATTTAATTGGGGCTTCTGTTTATTAATTTTTACATTACAAAGGAAGGTCACATATTCACAAATATCCAAGCTAGCTCTGAGCCCTAAGTACCCACATTACCAGAAAGTCCAGCCTTACCCAAAGGCTTGATTCCATATGAATTCCTAAGGAGCCCCAGGGTTGTTTATTGTTTGTGAATCACCTTAAGCTTAGGCTGAACCCAGCAGGGGTCGACCCTTCAGGCCACCGTCTTTCAGGGTGCCTCAGGGGCTTGTGTTTCTTCCCAGCTGCCTGGAAAACCGGCCCTGTCTGCTGCTTCCAGGGGTCAGGATGTGGGGGGAAAAGGGGGTCATGTGCTCAGCCCCTAGTGGTCCCTCAGGGAGGAAGGGTAGGCGCCCCTTCACTCTGGGCCGCCCTGTCAGGGAGATCCACCAGCAAAACCCCATGAGCCACCATGACCACCGCTCTTAGCAGACATTTCTCCCATTAGCCACAGCTGTTTGCCCAAGCCTGAAGCCTCTTCCTGTTCAGGACTCTGAGATGAAGCCCACGTTTGGGACACAGGTGGGGTAAGTATAGGTCTCACCTTGTTGTTCAAGGGTAATTATTAACAGCATCACTTTCACTCCCCTAAAAATATGAGACTATACATCTCTTCCTCATTTCGCGTGTCTCTCTGTGGTGTTTCTGTCTTAGTAGCCTCAGCACATCTTTTCTAGAGGAACTGGTGACTTCATAACATGAAGGAGATTTCTTTAGGGTAGGCTGACCCCTCATCATACATGACCCTGTGATTGATTCTTCCTCTGAGACGCATGGGGTCCCTACGATGCACTAGCCATACTTCCCATGTCTTGGGGTGAGGAAACTTTTGTTGAAAGGAAAGAGGGAAGGAAGGAAGGAAGGAAGGAAGGGGGAAGGGGGGAGGGAAGGAGGAAGGGAGGGAAGGAAGGGGGAGGGAGAGAGAGAGAAAGAAAGAAAGGAAGGAAGGAAGGAAGGAAAGGAGGGAGGGAGGGAAGAGAGAAAAAGAAAGAAAGAAAGAAAGAGAGAGAGAGAGAGAAAGAAGGAAAGGAAGGAAGGGAGGGAGGGAAGAAAGAAATAAAGAAAGGAAGGAAGAAAGAAAAAAGAAAGAAAGGAAGGAAGGAAGGAAGGAAAGGAGGGAGGGAGGGAGGGAAGAAAGAAAAATAAAGAAAGGAAGGAAGGGAGAGAGAGAGACAGGGAGGGAGGGAGGGAGGGAGGGAGAAAGAAAGAAAGAAAAAGAAAAGTGTGTAACCAATACAAAATACTTAATTCACTAGCACAACAGTACCAATTTCTCTCTCTAACTGAATACTTGAGGTCCACCTGCCTTATTAATGGGACATCCAGTATCTCCCTTGTGAAGTATTCTCTGCATCATCCCTCCAGCCAGTTGTTCAGGAACCCTCAGGTCTTAGCCTCTGAGAAGTCAGTCCTATCTTCGCCCATCATGCCCAGAGTGAGCAGTTCACGCCAGTTGTGGGCACGGGAAGTTCTGTGGGTGTTTGCTCTTGCCCAGTGTGTCCTCTGTGGTGACCTTCTTGTTGGCCTGGATCCCTGCTGGCCCAAGAGCATGAGATCACATTCACAGGGGCAACCACTGTTCCCCAAAGAACCTCTGTCCTGGCTGGCAGGGTCCTGAGGTGCTTCTGCCTCGGCTGCCTACTGTCCCGGAACATCCCTCTCCTACCGGCACTAGGCTCTGGCGTTGAGATCCTTCACCTTCTGGAAAGTTCCCAGTTGGGGCTCCTGGGTATCCCCATGCAAACCCCTCCCCTCCTCTCCAGTAAGCCAATCTCCACTCAGAGATGGAAGGAAGGCATGTTTTGCTAAATAGGAAATAACACAGAGACCAAAAGAGAATACACAGGTTTCTCTGTAGGCTCCCCAGGTCACTCACTGGTTACACCTGTCCCATCGTTGGGGTCCCCGGCCACATTCTGTGGTGCCTGGGAACATTTCCCAAATACCACAGCCCCAGATATCCTGTGCAATATTTCCTTTTCTGCAAATTAATTTTGACCTCTGCTACTGGGGAGCAGCTACAGTCCCACCACACATACCCCACCCGCCTTGGGCAGGGCAGGGAGGCTGAGAGCCTGGGGAGAGCAGCGAAGCTGTAGGGTTGGTGGGAGGGCAGGAAGTGTCTCTGCAAGGCCGTGGCTGAGCTGCCGGCACAGAGGCACATGGCTGAGTCCCCCAGCTGTGCAGGCTGGGTCTTCAGAGTGAGGCACACGCCATCAGGCATCTCAGCTGAGAAGTGGTCCTTCAAAAAGTCCGCCTTCTCTGAAGACACTTTGTTATAGATGGACATCAGAAACCCCATGCCCTTTCCTGGGGTCTGTTGGTACCAGAAGAGGTACAAACAACGGGGCACAGGACCACATCCCAGAGTCACATTCTGTCCCATCCCTGTGACATAGTGGCAAGGGCTTTGGCTGACACCAGATTCTATGCGTCCTGTGGGAGGACAGAGTCCAGAAAGAGAATGAGGCAAAAGTTTGGAACTGGCCTTAGGTCAAGGGAATGGGATGGGAGTTTTCCACATACCCCCAGGAGACAAACGATCACCCAGCAGAACCTGTGGTCCACGGCAGGGGCGGGGCAGGGCTGAGGTCTCTCCCAGTGGGGCATCAGGTCTTTAGCAGCCCAAGCAAGGAGACTCTGTGACGATGTCCTAGTCTTGGGCAGCACCCACAGGCTCGGGAGTGCCCACACAAGTGCCTCGTGCCAACGTGGACACATGATACTCCAAGGCTCAGCCCCCATGTGTCCTGAAGCGTTCAGGCTCCCACGGCCCGAGTGAAAAACTGCAGCTGCAGAGGGACCCTGGGAGAATACAAGCTTCAGGACAGTGAGGCCAGGTATGAAGACCCAAACAGACAGGCGGAACCCACTCCCCTTTCTAATGGCCAGTTCGGAGCCACAGTCCAGAGGCATGGACTCTGTGTGTCGTAATTCTGAGCCTGATGATTAAAATGTTGGGAGTGAAGAGATCAAACGAAAACAAAAAATAACCCTACAAGTGTCAGTGTGGAGCGGAAATCTATTGAGAAGTTGAGACCTGAAACCTAAAATGACATTTCAGAGCAAGGAAACGAGAGTGGAGGAAAAAGTCAGCACCCAGCCCAGTGCGCTGGCTCTGAACTGAGGGGCGCAGGGGCCCGCTGACTGCCTGAGGGGCAGAGAGCAAGTGTCTGTGCAGATTTGGAGCTTTGATCAGACTGGGGCTCGGGGTCTAGCCTTGGGCGGGAAAAAGAGAAATCGGAGAACAGACGAGCCAGATTATAGAATATGGATTTGGTGAAGACAGAGAGACACATCTTTCTCACACCCGTTTCCCAAAGGCTGGGTCTCTTACTGTCCTTTGCGGGGTCTCCAGTCCTGGGACCCTTGCCTGGAAGTCCTTCTCTGATTCCCCAAAGCTCTGTGCTGCTCAGCCCTGGGGGGCCACAGCCTTGGCAACAGGGAATCCTCGGTTCCTGAAAAGGAGAAGCTCAGCAGTCAGGCACCTGCCGAGCTCCAGGCAACGCACTTCCTCACAGGGCGGCATCCTTCTTATCCTCTGGGCCGGTGTAGGGTGTGAGTCCTGGCGTGCAGGCATTTGTTTAGAGGATCCCTATGAAACCTTAAACCAAACCATCCACTTTACAGCAGGCTTTTTTATTTCACGACAAATAAAGCATTAAAATAGTAGATAGGGATGTGTTTATCTCTTAACCAGTTGACAGGGCAGAGTCACACTCGGGTGAAAAATACCCCACACTCTAAAGATGTAGAATAGAGAGTCGCCACAGGGGTCGACTTGGGTATTACGGTTTGAGGCTCTGTCGGGGGTCTCCCTGTCCCTGGAGCATCCTCTGCAGGAGAGATGAGGGAGCCTTTGTGTGCATGCAGACAGCTGATCCTCCAGGACGCAGGGCTTTGCCAGCCCTTGGCTGCTGGGTCGTGCAGCCCAGAGAGCCATTACAAGGAGCAGAGCCGGAAGATACGAGGTTCAGCCCCGGGCACAAAGTCCTGCTCTGAAATGTCAGGAGGCCATCACTCCTCACTGCCTGCTGTAAGCAACAATCCAAGCGCATCGGACTCTATGGCTGATAATACAGGATGCGAAGACCTGAGGAGCTAGGGTCACAGAGACAGAAGAAAAAGAAGCAAGCCTGAAAGGGTTAAGGCTGGAGTGGAAGAGAAGCCAGCGAGGGGCTGAGCCCCTGAACGTGCAGCCGGCAGAGTGAACTAGAGAATAGGAATCCCAACGGGATGGGAGATCTGTGGTCCTCAGGGGCAGGAATGGCTGGAGACCCTGGTGAGGGAATGAGGTGCTTTGAAAAAGGTCTGAGCATAGTTGGAGCTGGGATCTGGGCTGAGATCCAGGGTCTAACTTGGATGGAAGGGGAAGTCAGAGAAAGACACCTTTTAGAAGGAGGATTAGTAGGACTGCTGCGGCCAGAGGGTCAAGTGTCTCATGAAAGACTTCCCAGGGGCGCCAGCCAATTGGAAAATGCTTGGGACAACTTAAACTTGAAAGTCTGTCCTCCATTCACCCAGAGGCACAATCTTGGTCAGGACGAGCCCGGCACAGACTGCTGGCTTCTGTGGTGATCTGAGCCCTGCCGTGCCCCATGAACCTGCGGGCAGTATTGTGGTCTGGGATTTCTGTCTAGGGTCTAATGGGAAGTGGCAAACGGAGCCTTGGCTGGCCCCCTAGCTTCCTGGCTGGCCCCTGGAGGTTTGTGCACAGGAAGGAGTTGGCTCTGCTGGGCTGTGTCTTTGCTGCTGGCGCAGAGATACAGGGCAGAGTCTTCCGGTTTCAGGGTGTCCACGTGCAGGTAGACGTGGGAGCTGTCTGGGCATTCAGGCCGGAAGCGACTTGGAACAGTCTCATTGCTAGCAAGTTCCTTGTAGTTGTAGGTGAACATGAGCTCCGGCGGCTTCTGAGCACTCTGTTTATACCAGTACATAGAATTGTGTCCCAGACGTTGTTCACATCTCAAAGATTTCTTATTTCTAGTTCCCATAACTAGGTATTTTGGTATCTGAGTTATTTCCGTGTCCGCGGAGGCTGCTGGGAGAAAGGGACACAATTCAGACAAAGCCCAGAAGGGGAGGTGTTGATGCAGCCGCAGGGAAATTGTTGGGGGTCCGGGGGCAGCCCATGTGAACGCACGACTCACCTGCTCCCACAAGACAGAGGACCACACAGCAGAACAGCCCGCAGCCCATGGTGGTGTCAGGGTCGAAGTGGCATCATCTAACTAGGATGCCCCAGGGGTGGGGGGTGGCCTCTGGTCTCCTTGGCCTTGGTTGGTGCTTTTGCCTGTGACGTCAGTGTCCTTGTCAGTTTCCCCAGCCCCAAGCGATGCTTATTCCTTCCCCTTTTATGCCTTACATAGATTTCTGTAGAAGGTGGATTTGAATGGACTGGGCTGAGATAGTCCTCTGACAGTTGCTCTTTTGCTATTAGCTGCCCTCCTCATTATATAGATTCTCCCTCTGTCCCCCCTCCCTTCCAAGACCCCCTCTCAGCAACAGACCATACCCCCCCCCCCTTGAAGAGATCTCCTTCCTCCCCTGCTCAGTCCGAGGCAGGACAACACTTAAAACGTCCTTTCCCTCAGTGTCTAAGCTTGCTGGAGCCCCTTTGCCCAGCTGCATGGAGGGAGGAAGATTGGAAGGCTGTGGTCCTTTTCTGTACCAGTGCCCCTCATTAAAAAGGCACGACTGTGGGGCTTCCCTGGTGGCGCAGTGGTTGAGAGTCCGCCTGCCGATGCAGGGGACACGGGTTCGTGCGCCGGTCCGGGAAGATGCCACATGCCGCGGAGCGGCTGGGCCCGTGAGCCATGGCCGCTGAGCCTGCGCATCCGGAGCCTGTGCTCCGCAACGGGAGAGGCCACAACAGTGAGAGGCTCCCCGACCCCCAAAAAAAAAAAAAAAAAAAAAAAAAGGCACGACTGTGATGCCAGCCAGGAACCAGACATTGGGAAGAGTGCTGAGAGGGGGCCATAACAAGGAATAAGCCATTCTCTGGCCCTGTATTGAGGGTGCAGGGCTTGGCTGGGCTTAAAGCAAACAAGTTGCCCCAAGTAAAAGAGCGCAAGACGTCCGGTGCAAGACAAACGGAAATCGATTTGAAAATGACTTCAGTTTAGCGTCTTTGGGAAGTCTGCAAACGATGCACGCAACTGATGCAAGCATGAAGCCTCAATGCCCTGCTCCCCTCCTCACGCCCTCCCTCTACTCACTCCCAGCCCCTCCCCCACCCCAGTCTCGGCGGTCTCAGTGGAGCCACAGCTCCGCCTTGTGGCCAAAGCTGCGCATTTCCCAGATCACAGGCCTCTTACCAGCCCGCGTCGGCAGCCCAGATCCCTCACTCACTCCACAGACCCGGAGCAGCTGTGATGGGTACGAAACTCCAGGAAATCATGAAGAAGAAAGAAGCACCTGAAACAACCAAAACAGTCGGCAGCAATACCATTCATCCACTTATCTAGGACATTCAATTTTTACTCAATGGAGATTGGTTATGTCTGGATTCTTAGGAATGAACAAAATGCAGCCTTGCAGATACTACCCCAGCCCCTGTGGAGCTTATAGACCATCTTGATTTGTTCAACAAATACTCATTGAGCAACAGCTAGGAACAAGCACAAAACTTCAACCCCAGAATTCTACTGTCGTGGGTAATTCAGTATAGTCACAGACAACCACTAGGGAATCAAATGTAGCTTATATGAAGTCTGAGAAACGTGGCCAGTATTTCAGTATTTAAATCTCTTCATGAATGTGATAGCATATTTCCTCAGCTATTACAACATGGGGACTGAATGCAAATGATCTCCAAAGCCCCGTGCGTTTCCAAAATGTTAGAAACCAAACCAGGCCCATCCGATCCACAGACAGTTTTCCAATCTGGGACTAGCTTGCGTGATCCACCATGAGTCTTTCCTACTTCACACTATAAATTGCTTATGCCTGTTGTCCACTTACTTATTGGAATATTTTCCATTTTCTTAAAACATACTGTTATGCCAGTATTGAGTTTTCATTCTAGAAAATTTGAAGATATGAATAAACACAAAAATGAAATGATCTATAGTTGCTAAATATAACATTTGTTTATTGTTATATTAGATATTTATTACCAAGTTGGAATAACAAGAATCTGTATAAATCTATGTTGGGACTAGGGAGGGTAGTTATCCATGTGTAAAGTCAAGGGTTGATAAGTGAAATGTTTTTGAACCCAGGGATGTGCTGGGTCAGGAAGAAAATACTAATATTTTTCTAATGTAATACATTTTATCAGATATTTCACTGTGGCCCATGAAACAAAAAAATGTAAGGGTATATGGGTTAGAATTTGGATATTCTCCTCCTGAACAGGTTACATATATGATGGACCTTAAATCCACTGCAGTCGGAGATATTCCATTCTTAGATAAGAACCAAAAATTAACCCTCCTTACAAGGCCAGCATTGTTACTATTAACATTATTATGATGGCCATTCCCTGTAGTAAGAAGACACTGATTGGCCCTTCTACAAGAAAACAGAAAAATGTGAATAAATAAAATTTTATTGCATTGTTAGGCTGTCAATACATATGCAAAATTTCACAGATGACAAAAAGCAATGGAATTTAGGCTAAAACCCCGAACAATGAGCAAAAGTGAAAAGCTCGATTGCCTTGAGAACATTAGCTAACATAAGCATTTCCCCAAGCAAGGGGTGGGGTGAAAGGTGAGTTTAAGTTATCTGAATTAGGGATGTGACCGAAGAAAGAAGATGATCTAAGGACAGTCTGCATTGCAAGAACAAACAGTGAAGAGGTGGAATGGTAAGCATGTAGGTAAATTCAAACACTGCCCATTATCAAATAGTAATAGTATATGCTCCTCAAAGATATATAGAAAAGACATAAATGATTCCAAGACAGCTGGGATTTGGGTTATGGGAGCCCCAAGAATACATGAAGGGAAATTACCTTTTTTCTTGGCCAGTTGTGTCTACACAGGGCAGGACTCTAGAAGGTTCTGGAAGGCTATAGAACTGAGCAGAGATTTCTGAAGACACTCAGCTGGAAGACATTGGCACACAGACCCAGTTAGAGCGAGAGACATTGGTGCATATGCTGTGAATCCCACGGAGACCCTGGAAAGACCAAGCACGGTAACAATGAACCCACATGCTAAGGCTCCCATAATTCAAAAAGAGTCATGTAACAAAATGTTCATTGCAACTCTATTTACAATAGCCAGGACATGGAAGCAACCTAAGTGTCCATCGACAGATGAATGGATAAAGAAGATGTGGCACATATATACAATGGAATATTACTCAGCCATAAAAGGAAACAAAACTGAGTTATCTGTAGTGAGGTGGATGGACCTAGAGTCTGTCGTACAGCGTGAAGTAAGTCAGAAAGAGAAAAACAAATACTGTATGCTAACACATATATATAGAATCTAAGAGAAAAAAAAAAGGTCATGAAGAACCTAGGGGCAAGACGGGAATAAAGACGCAGAGCTACTAGAGAATGGACCTGAGGATATGGGGAGGGGGAAGTGTAAGCTGTGATAAAGTGAGAGTGGCATGGACATATATACACTACCAAACGTAAGGTAGATAGCAGCCGCATAGCACAGGGAGATCAGCTCGGTGCTTTGTGACCACCTAGAGGGGTGGGATAGGGAGGGAGGGAGGGAGGGAGACGCAAGAGGGAAGAGATATGGGAACATATGTATATGTACAACTGATTCACTTTGTTATAAAGCAATTATACTCCAATAAAGATGTTTTAAAAAAATAAAAGTACCTCCTGTTAATAAGGGGAAAAAAACCCCCTGCAGATCAACACAAAGCCAATAGTCTGTGTTTAACCCCTAACATTTCAGCACTAACTCACAGCCTCCGCAAACCACACGCTCCTGTGTTGTGAACAAACCCGGACTCTCTCTCAACCCTCTCCCATCCAGGGAGTTCTCTCGACCCTCCCTCTTCTCCCTGAATCTCAGGAGAGTCACGGTGCCCCCTTGTGGCCAAAGGGAAAACTCAGTTCTACTCTCCTGGACCAAGACAGAAAGGCAGTAAGAGGTCTTAGGGGGGCCTACAGTCAGAGGGTTGGGATTAGCCCATGGCTCTCCCGTCTTGGACTGATTTCTCAATCTGGATGAGGCTTCTTGTTAGAAAGACAGGAGCTCCAGTGATTTCTCAGCATTCTGTGTATAGCAGTATATAGAATTACGTCTCGGGTGTGGTTCACACTTTAGGGTCCCGTTGCTCCCCAACATTGTCACCAGGTGTTTTAAGGTCTGGGTAATTCCAGTGTCCAAAGGGCCTCTGGGAGCAAGAAACCACATTCAGAGAGTATCATGAGGCAGCTCCATGAAAAAAACTTGAAGTTCAAGGACAAAGCTGTCCCACCTGTTCCCAGGACACACCTGCTCCCAGGAGACAAAGGACCACACAGCAGAGGGGCCTGGAGCCCTCCTCAGCTCAGACAGGATGGGACCCGGTGTCTCCCTGCCAGGTCCCAGTCCTCTGAGTGTGTTTCCCTGGTCCTGCAGGGGATTTGCTTGGGGAGTCACGGCCCCGTTAGTTTCTGCAGCTCACATTCCCTCTTTC